ATTGGTCTAGACATTTCTAAGATACAGGTCCGGACGCACGCACAGACACACACACGCATGCACACACGCACACACGCACGCACGGACACACGGAGGTCAAAACATAAGTTCCCGTTTTCGGACTGCGTCCAAACAGGGACTAACAAACATCATATGCAATATATGGATGCACAGTGTGCCTTATATGGGTACATCATATGCCATATATAGATGCATAATATATGAAAACAAACATCATATGCAATATATGGATGCACAGTGTGCCTTATATGGGTACATCATATGCCATATATAGATGGCATAATATATGGAAACAAACATCATATGCAATATACGAATGCACTATGTGCCATATATGGTACATGTTTAATAATCAGGCGTGGTTGACGTCTGCATGGGATAGAGTGCATCAGATTGCTATAATGCCATTATGATAGTCGCTAGCCCCAACCATGAAATGTACTATGTATCAGAAATTGCAAATGCAATATGCACACGAAAAAAAAAAAGACAAAAGTAACTGACACATCACAATTAATAAACAAAATACACTCAGACAGCTATGCGGCAGTTGTCATGATAACTGTACTGCCTGCAAGCATACAATATAATTTGTAAACGTCATACCAGTACCAGTAGTATCATATGTCATACTAAAAAAAATATATATGAGTTTATGTTTCCCTAAGGAAATAATATGCCGTGCAACTGATGCACAAAGATTTTATGAGACGCAACTACATTTAGTTATGATTATTCATGAAGCATCACGGCAATACAGATGCATCATATAATATATGGCTGCACCATTATATATATGTGTGAACTATATGCATTATAAGAATGCATCATATTCCATGTATCATAATTATATATGATTATATCATGAAGGTAATATGTACTTATTATTTATAGACACTATATTTTCTTGAAAAAAATTGATTATGTTTGACAGATTCTAATTAAGTTCATTTACAAAATTAATATATTTGAATATTACTGTCACCGCCATATTGTTCGGAACACCAAAACAGCAACATTGCCAGTACATGTATGTTGGTGACTGGTTTGTTAAGAGCACTTGGAGATCGTTACGCGATTAGAACAAGAGGACTAGAGGATAGAAGATCATAATGCGATTGTCTTTCAATTTATTTTATTTCATCTTATACATTTCTATATAATAAATGACAAAGTTATGTATTTATACAGTATAAAATGTATATAGTATGAAATATCACACAGGCAAGGGTGTGTCTGGTGCGTGTCATTTTAGGTGAACGGTGCGCCCTCGTAAAAGTGGTTTGATCTAACAAGTTCTAATCACGCTCTTGAGATGCCATAACAAACTTAACTGGCAATGATGATGTTTTGGTGTTCAGAACAATATAGCAGGTGACAATAAATTATTTCGATAAAAACAGCAATATAATAAATTTGAGAGGTGGTGGCATATTAATAATTAAGTAAACAAATTAATCAATCTTGCAAATGATATTATTATCTGATCAACTTGAGTGACAGGTTTTTGAGTAGAGAAAAACAAGAATGCTTGATTGATATGCAAATTCATCTAATTAATATACAGTTTCGCATAAAAAATACTAGTAATCAGATGTTACAGCTAATCGAATAATATCTGACTACTGATTTTTATTTCAAGTAAACTGAAAAGATTCCTGAGATAGCAGCAAAGCACTGATGCTTATTCAATATGCAAATTAGCTAATCAATATTCAGTTATTTGTAGCAAAAACATCCAATCCTGCAATTTCCAACTAGTACTGGAGTTTGTCTGAATTGGATTGGTCCATGAGAGACAAGTTTTATCTTTGACAAGTGTAGGAAGTGCTGCAACATATTATTTCGAGTGGCATAACATGACAACATCATAGGACCAACACAATGATTGCATCAAGTCTAATGTACTGAACGAGCGTTACTCGCACCAAAATATCCCAGAACCCTGACATCTTGTGACAAATAGTGTAAATTATTTACACCGTGACTATGTCAATGAATTAAAATGTGCTTGCCCATGAATGCACAGTGCAAATAACGAACAGAATCGATCTACTGATGACCATATTGTTAACTTCCGTGTATTGTATAGTGATTTTAAGAAATAACAGCAGAAATAAAGAAATGAATGCGTACGTGAAGTGATGCCGAACATTCCGTTTTGACATGCCTAAATATGATGTAACAATCGTATATACGGCTCTCGTCTCGCCTTCGTCTCGGGTAACTTACCGTCAAGGATGCACCACTCGCCGTCAATCTCGGCATGTTGAATATATGAATCTTCAATGGTCGGGTCGTAGTCTGGAACAAACATTTTTTGAAAGAACTGGATTGTGATCGCACTCTTGCCGACACCGCCATCGCCAACTACAACCAATTTGTACGTTGTAAGATTCTCTTTTGATATATCCGGCAATCCACTCGACATTTTAATCGTCTAATTTGTTGTCAGGCACGAATAAAACGATTTGTGGATCCAGTAGTAAATACGAAGAGTACGAAGTAGAGGTTCAAGCACTGATAATACTGAAATTACAGCACATAGATGGACGATTAGTTGGCCTGCGGAGCGTTACAATGTAACCGAGACTGTTGCATCAATATCAACGTGTTTTGTAAGCTTTCAAAGGCAAGCGGTGAATAACATGATGTTTCTACCCGTACGCTCTTCTCGTATATCGAGTTTGTAATCACAGACTACTGAATGAACCCTAGAAAATCATTCC